TACTATCACCTATAAATATGTGTTTCTCTTTTCGTTAGCCAAACTTTCCCTGACGATCCGTTTAGGTGAAACCTAGGTAGGTTTGTCTGGTTCACTAGGTGTATCTATCTCTATCTATCTATCTATCTATCTATCTATCTATATATATATATATATATATATATATATATATGCTATACATATAAAATAAATAATAATATTAATATATATATATATACATACTATACATATAAAAAAATATTAATATTAATATATATATATATATATATATATATATTATACATATATATAAAGCATTGATCTTTATATATATACATATATATATATATATATATATATATATATATATATATATATATATATATATATATATATATATATATATATAAATGATTCCATGTGCATCAAATGCTATCTAGGCCAGCTATATGTTTAATGACAAGGAGGAAAATGCCTTTATTTGGTGATGATTATCCGAATTCGGAATAAATAGAAGCGGTTGATTGGAAAATCGGGTGGAAAATACAGAAAAAAATCTGATGCTGTTCAACATAAAATTAAATCATTTTTTGTCACTAAGAATTTCATTCGATATTTTCTCATCGTTGACCTTCTCAAAGAACTCAGAGACCCCCCCACCGCCCACAATCTCTTTCTTTTTTTCCTCTCTCTCTCATTCTTTTCCGCTATTCTCGGTGCTTCTCTCTCTTTTTTTCCAGAACATTCCACAAACAAAGTGAAATCAAGTAATTTGCCTAATAAGCCGAACAACTGCTCATCGGTAAATGTCGCCAAGGTAAGATCCAAAGAAACTTCGCTAAATTTTCCAATGGCATGGAATTTCGCATCTTCCGTTCTGAAAAGTTCGCCGGAAAAATGTCAAAGCATCCCTCCCTCGTATTTCTCTCTCTCATTCCTTCTCTATTTCTCTCTCCATCTAATCACTCCCTGCACACTTTCTCGATTTCTATCTCTCTCTCCGCCTCCTATCTTTCTCTAATTCTCTCTCTCTTCTTTCATTGTGACTCTCATATTAATAAATATAAAAAAAGAATTCATTTAGACGGATTTTATATATATATATATATATATATATATATATATTGATTGATAATATTAGTGGTCAATATATATATATATATATATATATATGTGTGTGTGTGTGTGTGTTACAACGAATCATTCATACAAAAAGTAGATGAGTAAAGTTAATGATATAAAATGGCGAAATCCCTTCGCAAACAAAATTTTAAAGTTACATTGACCTACGATCCACTCGATGAATCTTATGATTTAATAACTACAAATAGTATAAGGTCATTTTTTTAATCTGCAAGTACTTTCAACTGGACATTCAGCCATCCTCAGACATGGAATTTATTTTGTTTTTAGTAAAATCCAGGTAGCATCAGAGACGATAGATTAAATGCGGATGTTTTTTTTAGAAATGTGCTATTGTTAATGTATATATATATATATATATATATATATATATATATATATATATATATATATATATATATATATAAAGTAACGTCAAAGTGTATACATATATAGTTAAGTAACTATATATATATATATATTTATATGAAGAAATATAGTCTTAAGATGTGCTATATTTAGGGGATAAAATGCTCAATACCAGAGATAGAGCGTGTGTAAATATAAAAGTGAACATAGAAGTCAACACTTAGAGGCAAAATGTTTCATGCTAAATGCAATCGTCAGGTGGTTCACTTTTATATATTTATATATATATATATATATATATATATATATATATATATTAAATTATATTTTAAATTAAATTTATATATATATATAGTTAATAAATATATATAGTTAATAAATACTTAAATATATATATATATATATATATATATATATATATATATATATATATATATATATATATATATAGTTAAATAACGTCAAAAGTGTAAATTTTAAATACATCTTTCGTTTCACCTTTTTTTCAAAGTTAAGTCAGAAGATCCAGAGAAAAATAAAATTCTCTTGTGAAATAAATTATTACAATGGAACCTTAAAGTGGTGTTTTTTTCTTTAAATTCGATTCTATATATATATATATATATATATTTATATTTTCATTTTATTGCCAGATATTTTCTCCATTCTGTCTTCATATCTATGAATGTCTATTTAAACTGAACTGTATTTTTGTAATTGTATTTGTTAGCTTCTGAAATCTTTACGTAGGATTTGTGATGTTGCAATGGAAATAAGAATTAAAGAGATTATCTATGATGAGCACTGTTGATAGAAGAGGCTGAAATGCATAATGTAAATGCACTGCTAATAATGTTAACATATAAATTCAGTATAAATCATTAGAAAATGAATTCAGGTCATGAATTAAAGAAATCATTAACGAGTGAATAGGAACTACATTTAAAAAATGAGAAAGAATTTTTTGTGGTCAATAAGTAACGAAAGCGACTGTTACTACATATATTTACACAGACACACACAACCACAGACATACACACACAAACACACATACACACACACACACACACATATATATATATTTAATCAATGGATTTTCAATCCGACAAGAGGTTTTCGATCGCTAGGCCCGTATAGATTAATTACACTGTTTAAGAATCAGAGACGTTTAGAATAATGCTCAATGTAAAAAAGAACATATATATTCATTGTTTAAATAACTAATTAATAATAATATATGTATTCATAAGATTTAGTTATATATATATATATATATATATATATTGAAATTGAGTTACAGTTATATATATATATATATATATATATATATATATATATATATATATATATATATAACTGTAACTCAATTTCAAAAAGAACAACTACACTGAAAATATAGAAAGAATCATAAAAAGACATAATAAGAAAATCCTAGAAAACACGCATACCAAAACAGTAATTAGTAATAAAAAAAATCCCATGGCTAAGTAAAATTCTTAAAAGCTTAGCCAAATCATTAAATAGGAAAAACCCTTTTTGTAGTCGTCAAAAAACAAAAAAAAAAAAACAAATTGAAATTCAGTGCAATGCGATCTGTATATAAAACACCCACTTGAATAAACAAATAAATAAATAAATAATCAGATGGACAATAATAAAAGAAAATTCCCCAGACACATAACGATTGTAGGCGCGCCATAAAAATATCCCTCACTGGGAACTAACTAAAGGGTGACCGCAAACATTAGCCTTGAAATAGATGCCCCACTCAACCTTAGCAAAACCTCTTAGAAGATGATGAATCTATTGATAAGAATTAACTCATTGACCACTTAACGAAGGAAAATAGTCTAGCCACTCCCACAACAACGAATTCTGAAACGGACAGGGCATAAAAATACACGTAAACCGACAGATAGCTTATTCATAAAATTTCGCTTGAAGATGAAACGGGACTAAACACCACAATCCAACTTAATTTTAATAATTATTTGGATGATTTCGGCTCTCGTTTTTGAAACATGAGAACTCTTATGTAGCGAAGGAATCATATTTTTAAACAAAAAGAATATTTTTTGATAATATATATATATATATATATATATATATATATATATATATATATATATATATATATATATATATATAAGTTGAGAAGGAGTAGAGTACACTTCCAGAGTTCGTAATATTGTACTGCCATTTATTTGCAAATCTATGATCCATGACCTAATTATGAAAAACAATTTCTTACTTTTTGCTTCTACCCTTAGTTTAAATTCAACGTAGGTCCTATACGATTGGTTGATCTGAGTAACCCTGCTTTTGCTTTTTTTTTTCGTTAAAAGAGGCTGCATTTTGCTTTTAAACCTAATAAATTGTTCACTCGCCAGCCATTTACAATCGCCTAACGAGATGCATTGATCCACATCGAAACACGATTGCAATTGTGTAACGATTTTGATATATTTTCGATGTAATATCCTAAAATACTCCACAAATTAATACATATATATATATATATATATATATATATATATATATATATATATATATATATATACAGACAGTAGGAAAAATTAAATGAAAGCGTAATATATATATATATATATATATATATATATATATATATATAAAGGAAAAACTAAATAAATATATAATATATATATATATATATATATATATATATATATATATATATACCGAAACAATGAAAAGCGTAATATATATATATTAGGCTTTCATTTAATTTTCCTAAAGATTGATGGATGCATAATTTGACGTTCCTTTCTATTTCTTCCACTACACTTGCACAATTGCTATTCAAAATATCCCTTGCATATAACATATTCTTTTAATATTTAATGTTTCACCATCTTTTTCGCCAATTTTTATTCCTTTCTTTAGATAAAAATATCTTTTCTTTTCCTTCGCCATTGTTCCCTCCTCATTTTGTTTCTCCCTCAAACTTTCCCTCTCTTGATATATATATATATATATATATATATATATATATATATATATATATGCTTGTTGCAATTTTTGTCATTGTAATTATCTAGAAGCAATGTTAATATGTCGAAAATGTCAACCCACATTTCGACTTAATGAATAAGATAAAGTAATAACCCCCCCCAAAAAAAATGTTATTTAAAACTCAGAAAACGTTTCGCATTTATCCATTCCTGATGCAAATGTTACAGGTTATTTTGAAAATTACCTTCGCCTTGAATAAGTTGGACTATTTTTATTGTTGCAATTGCAACGCTAATGTCGCTGCGTTCTCCAAACTTCCTCGAGTTCATGTCATGGCCAAAAAACGGAATCTGTTCTCCTTCGTATCAAAGTAATAAGGATGCGTTTACCACAGAAATATAATCTCAAAATTAAGTTTTTGTTGTAATCTCAAAAACTAAACACTAATTCGCAAAAAAAACAAAACAAAAAACAAAAAAAACAAAAAAGAAATAAATGATTATCACGGCCATAACATGAAAGTTACTTGCCTTTATGTTTTATAATTCTAATGATATATGAATCGACATAACATTCTTCATATCTATCTATCTATCTATCTATCTATCTATCTATCTATCTATCTATGTGTCTTATCTATCTATCTATCTATCTATCTATCTATCTATCTATCTATCTATGTGTCTTATCTATCTATCTATCTATCTATCTATCTATCTATCTATCTATCTATCTACGTGTCTTTATCTATCTATATAACTATCTATCTATCTGTGTCTTATCTATCTATCTATCTATCTATCTATCTATCTATCTATTTGTTACTACTCGTTCGCTCGTTCAATCGATCAGCCAAGTCCTGAATATTTATGTCTCGAAAACTGCGTATATCTATTTAGATATATATAAATTCTATTCCATTCAGATCTGTTTTTATATATTAATGTTCATTCAGTACAAGAAGCAAGAACCACTCAAGATAGAGCGTTACTGTGTGTTAAGAAGTGAGATTCATGAGACTATTCAGCATATTCACATTAATATCTATCTATCTATCTATCTATCTATCTATCTATCTATTTACGAAGGTATGTCAACCATTATCCGCCTCTTTCGCCATAACATATCATTACTTTTGTCACATGCCTTCTGCTTATGCGTGCTTAGAGTTGGTACAATTGTGGACATTTGATCGAAGCTTGAGATCGACCGTGCCAGATTTTTTATGCTACGATTACAGTATAACTAGCAGTATACACCAAGGAGGAACAAAGTGCAGTGATCCGAATCTGCAGAGAACACGCTTCCTCATCAATACTAACTCGCCGGTTAGCCATTACCTTCCCTAGCGATTGATGAATCTTTTCCTTAGCGGTTGGTGGACGTCCTGCTCTTTCTTCGTGCATTACGATTGTCGGGCCACTTTTAAACTTCTCCATCCATTTATACACACTTCTACGTGGTAGTGAACTTTTGCCAATTGATTTCAGCCGCTGACATCTCTTCCGACCAGAGAAATCGAATTAATGCTTTTTGATCCACAGGGTAAACACTGCTAGCGGAGCGGCCATGGCTACATTGTAACAGCTGTTAGAAAACTTAGCTCAATCAAGTGACCACAATAGTATGAACTATAAACACGTATGAGCAGATGGCCATGCAACAAACCTAAAGGCATTTTATGGAGAAAGTGTAGATATTTTTATTCTTCCTCTTATAAAATAGAATTTCATATAAAATATATAATTTAAGCACCAGATCGTTTCATGGCGTAGTCTGTCATGGCTCTCAACAATATCCTGTCTTTCGTAGTTTTAGCAATGTTTGACTTTTTACTATTCATCCATAATCCTATCTGACATCCATCTAGACAGGCTCGTTAGCCAGATTCCATGTTGTTTCCCAAATATGTTCTGTGAGTGTTAAATTTTCCAAGCCCTTTTTCCTCATTATGTGTCCCAGAAATTTCAACTGTCTTTACCTGATAAAGTAAAAATATCTTGTATTCATTTGTAGAATCACATCTTGTTTCACGCTTTCTTTTCATCTGTCAGAAAATTGTCAGAAAATTGTCCAGCATTCACTGGCACATTATACACTGCGTCCCAAATTATTATCGAGATAACGTTTTTATAATATTTCAAAAACCGTCCAATCAATTCATACAAAACTTTCACACAATGTTGTCAACACTGATCTGCGCAATCACTGAAATTTTTGACCTGATCTGCGCAATGTAAACAATCTGGCGCCATATTTGTTACCAGCACTGTGATTTGAGCGTGCCAAATTATTAGAAAGGTTTAGTAAAAATCCCAGAATTGAGCACACAAAACGTTTATTAACGTTGCACGTGAACGTTTATGATCAAAAGAAGCTAATAAATAAGATAATCAAACAAATAAGAACAGATACAAACAAAGGCACAATTTTAAACAAATTAATAGGGAATGTGCTTTCCCTGTTTTGAAATTACTTGAAGAAGTCGACGATCCATAGAATTTGTTAATTGTAGGATGTCATCTGCTGTAATGCCGCGAGATATGTCAAGAATTGCTTCCCACAACACAGCGTTGCTCCTGAATTGTCATCCGTTGGCGTACAATCTTCGCTTCAAAGGTTTTCGATTGGGTTCAAATGCGAAGAATTTGCTGGCCACTTCATTTTTCGAGGTCTATCGAAGCCTAACTTTCAAATATTCAGTAGTCTTAAGAGAAGCATGTGAGGGTGCATTATCTTGCATAAAAACAATGGCCCTTCTGAAGGTAACTTTTTGCCTTTTCATCCACGTTTCAAGATGCTCCTTCATAAACGCTATGTATGCATCAGCAGTCATTTTGACGCCATCTGGTACTCTCCATGGGCCCACTAATGTTTTTCCAATAATACCAACCCAGATCATTTTGACTCCACCGCCTTGTTGGCGTCTCAAACGCCGATGGCGATTCTGTCCGTTCATTACCCAGCCTTTGCGCCATCTATCTGGCCTATCAAGTGTTGATCAAGTTTCGTCTGTGAACAAAACTTTAGAGAATTCAATCTTCATATTGTCCTCGGCCCATTTCAATCGATTTTGAATGTGATTTCTCGTCAACGGAGGCTTCGATACAGGTTTGACTGTTGTTGCTATTTCCCACAGATACAGACACCCAGTACTTTTAGACACAGCAAGATCCCCAATGCGACTGAAAAGCTCTTGGCTGATAAGTCCAGGCTTCTTTGTGGCCCATCGTTTAAGTCGTGACATGAGACGACGTGAAATAACCCTTGGCTTGCCTTTATCTGGCCTTTTGCGTACTTGTGTAGGGTCGGTAGGTGAACTTTTTCGCTGTTTGATGACAACTCCCTATCATTTTAGAAATTTCTAGGGTAGATTTACCTTTTGAGAGTTCTGAGGTGATAGTTTTCTTTTCAGCATCACTTAAACCGCTTTTACGACCCATCTTTACACTAAATTCTTACACTTTTCTAATAATTTGGCACGCTCAAATCACAGTGCTGGTAACAAATATGGCGCCAGTTTGTTTACATTGCGCAGATCAGGTCGAAAATTTCAGTGATTGCGCAGGTCAGTGTTGCCAACTTTGTGTGAATTGATTGGACGGTTTTTGAAATATTATAAAAAAGTTATCTCGATAATAATTTGGCACGCAGTGTATAGCAGAGGCTTATATTTTTTCCTTTCCAACAATTTATACTTGTTTCTTATGCAAATTTCCTGTTATCGACATAATGAAAATAAATAAATTATGGAGAAAAGAGTTTTGCCTGCAGATTAATATCACTTCTTTTTTTTTCTTTACTTTTTTAAGCATATCACCTCAATCAAGTCACTAGCACACAAGTGGTTACAGAGAGTGAGAGCAAGAGTAAAGAAGTCTGTTTGAGGAAAGGATAAAGAGAAGGACGGTGATCAGAAGATGTCGATTGACATTATATTTGAAGATTTGTAGATTATATCTATCAGGGAAATCATTGAGAGGAAGGGAGTTCCCCTGCCGGAAAGTGCGAGAGAAGAAGCTGTTGGAGTAGAAGAGGCGGTTACATTTAACTGTTTCGAGAGTGAAAGGGCGGGACCAAGATGCCAACCTAATGGCACGCTTAAATTCATGCAGTTGGTATAACAGTGAAAGTAGCTCGTTGGAGCAGTTGCCATGAAAATATTTGTAGAAAAGACAGAGGGAAGCCACTACACGTCTGTGAGAAAATGACTGTAGACGATATGCCAGATCAGGACTTATCACATTGCATATCCGCCCCGGGATTTTGTCGAGTACCTCGAGATGAACAGCTATATGGCAGCAGTATTCAGTGCAAGGGGGAATGGTAGATTTATAGATTTGAAGTATGGGCTCAGACGAGAAAAATCTTATTGTAATTTTATGAAAAACTAAATGACAGATCCTTTTTTTTAAAATAAATATTTTCAATTAAAGCTGCATGCACTGACGAACAAGTTGACAAATTGAAAATTCGAATCTGCTAAAAACGATTTGAACTTTTCTGTGTATTTTGTGGACTGTTCAATTATGTAGTTTCTGTAAGACATTTAGTGTTTAAGTTAATGAAAGGTAATTTTGCTAAATACGATAAGGGTGCTCGTCTATCGAGGCCTTAAAAAGAAGTCTGGCATTTGGGATCCGACTGCCTTATACGCCATAAGATCGCTACCAGTGATAATACCGACACTGGGGCCGAACAAAACTCCCTGCAGAGAAAACTGAAACGTAACAAACGGAGACCCTCTGACATCGAATCTCAGGAACACAACAGCTCTGAGACCTCCTCCGAATCAGAGGAAGGACAACTAGATCCTGACAAAATCGAACCATCACGAAGACCACAAACATTACGGAAAGTGGATCTGCCCGAGAACGTTTTCAGCATCCCACTGTCTCTTCATTAAAACTATTTTTCTTTCTTCTTCTTCTCTTCCTCTTCTTTGAAACTATTTCAATTCTTTTCAAGGCTACTTCCCTGCTTTTCCTTCACTTATATTCCTTTGCAATGTAGGTAGCGTCGACCCACCTTTTTTGTTCCTTAGGTAATGCAAATAAAGTTATTTTCTTTCCTCTTCAAACAAATAGGGTTGAACTCCCTGCGGTATGCACCCAAATCATATATCGAATCTGAATCAGATTAAGTCTTTATCTGGGAGCTGAATCTGTTTAATCGTCGAAACAAATAGACATTGGGGGGTTTTGAATTCCTTCAATGGTCTATTTGTTGATAATTAAAACAAAGGACATAAATCACTTAAATTTCCGATCTCCAGTACGTGACCGGCAGCCCATTTTTGTTGTTGTTGTTGTTAGCTGTTAAGTGGAATTACAACTCATTGTCCTTTCAATTTCCTAATTAGCTTTATTTAGGCATTTAATTCTGAGTCAGCAGAATTATTATCAAGAGGTCTTCCTTTTGATTTCCTTCTCATTTTCTATTTCTTATTTTTGATGACGTATTTATCTCATCGATTTTTCTGTGCCAACAAACTGTTCAGATGAAATGTAAAACTAAAAGTCTTATGTGGACAGGAAATAAATTCATCTCTAGTCGTTGCTTCTTTGCTTTAGTTTTCACACATCTTCAATTTGATTCCAGTGTTTATTTTACCAAATATACATTATTTAACCCATTAACTGCCAAATTAGTTTAATACGCATTTTTAGCCAAGACAGGTATCTTAGGAGTTTATTTATTCCTTATGTTTAATTTCAGTAGTTACCATTTTCGTTTTTATAGAAACTAGAACATCAAATATATATGTGTATAAAACATCAAAAAATAATATTGATTAGAAATAATGAAAAAAATACTGTTCAAAATAGTCATTATTTCTCGACTCCGTATCTATATTTCTGAGACGAGGTATAATGTACACTATTTACATTATTCGGATTATTATCCTCATCTTTGTCGACATATTTATCACAACGTTTCGGCCGTTGTACGCCCCGGCCTTCTTCAGGTGTTTGGAATGTCGAACTGAACCCTTTATTTCGTTCAATGGGGTAGACTGTTCTAGTTTCATGTGCCATGTATAATGGATGTTAGTTATCAATTATCTCCTGTTAATTCCCCTCTCCAA